TTCTCAAATTCCTCATATCACTGAGATCATATGATACTTGTCTTTCTCTGATTGACTTATTTTGCTTAGCATAATGCCCTCTAGTTCCATCTACGACGTTGCAAATGGCAAAATTTCATTTTTTCTTTTTTTGCTGGCTTGCAGCTGTATCTTAAAACTGCTTTGCTAGAAGTTTTCTAAGAGAATCTCTACATAAGAGGTGTCTGTGTGACTCATTCAGTTGAGTGACCAGCTCTTGATTTCGGTTCAGGTTGAGATATCGGCTCAGGACTGTGGGATCGAGCCCTGCATCAGGTTCTGTACTCAGGTGGTCTGCTTCTCCCTCTCCCTCTGCTTGTCCCCACCCTCACTCTCTCTCTCAAATAAATAAATAAATAAATAAATAAATAAAATCTTAAAAAAAATCTCTACATGAAGTTTAATAGCCTCTCAAGGCCAGAAGACAAACCAAATACTTGCCATCAGACTTTGCCTGTAATGCCTATAGATTTGGATGAGTTCCTCTCTTCTCTAAGTCCCCCAGACATCCTGCACCTGCCAGGAAGTGACCTTTTTACACACCTGGTAAGACTGCTGAGAACTCTGTAAACAAGGTATCAGTCTGGTATTTCCAAGGGGCTCTATTGACTCCATAAAGTCAACCTGAGCTACAGCTGTCAGGTCACACCTGAGCCTATGCATGTCCCCCCAAATTGGACATTCCAGTCCAGATCTTGTACCTATAACCAGTGTTTCCAACTGTGTCCAGTCATAAAGAGAACAGATTTTTACTGAACTGAAGCAAATAAATAGATTGTCATAAAAATAGAAGAATACCCACTGACAGTTTCTGAAATCTGGAGGGTTCAGGTAAGGAGCAAAGAGAAATGTTTCCATTTGTTCACAAAGGCATATTTTATTTTATCAAATTGCTGTAAGTCAGTTGGCTTAAGAGACAAAGTTTCCTTAAATCTGCAAAAACAAAGCATTAAAAAGTAGCAACATTTCAAAGAAAAGTCATAAAGAGTATAATTATTCTCAAGTTGTTCAGAGTCATGTTATTAATTCTGATTCTGCTTGAATCCAGTTTTTGTATTACTTTTGGATATTTTCACTTCATTCAGATTTATGGTCTTAAGGTTATCAGAAACTTGTACTCAGAGTTTTTTCCATGAATCTCATTGAAAAGGAAGCACATCTGCACATTTATTGAGGCATCTGAGTATAAGTGTAACTGTCTGTAAATGAGAGAAAGGCTTAGAAATGGCCAAGTTTGGAGATCTGATTAGAGTTCTTTCCAGTGCAGCTGACAAGGAAATCTGGTTATTTCTGTGACTCACAAAATTTTGAGATAATATCATACCAGGACATCAGATTTCTAGAAGTTTCATATAATTTTTAGGACATGTATTTTAATATTATATCTAAGAAATTCATATCACTTATTTGGCAATGCTTCCCATAGAAGGTAAGGTACCAAATAACACTCATTAGTTTAATTGGCCACAAAATCTCTGAAATGTTCCACGAGCCCTTTGGGACACCCCAGACTGTGGTCAAAAGACTTTATTTTAGAATTTGATTTTGGGAAGTATGTCACAAAATATCAAAATGGTTTGAATGTTTGATTGAAAGGGGTTACAAACCATTATGAAACAATATTTTTAACAGTTTTTTTTAAAAGATTTATTTATTTGACACAGAGAGAGAGACAGCTAGAGAGGAAACACAAGCAGGGGGAGTGGAAGAGGGAGAAGCAGGCTCCTGGCTGAGCAGGGAGCCCGATGCGGGGCTCGATCCCAGGACCCTGGGATCATGACCTGAGCCGAAGGCAGACGCTTAACGACTGAGCCACCCAGGCGC